TATTATATTTACAGTTACTGTTGACCTCGGGTTCATAAACAAGCAGTTGACATTACCTGGTTGAAGGGACGGACTCTCACAGCAACTTTCACACTGTCAGATGACATCTTTATCTCCCCGTCATGTTTCTGATACAACTAGACCCTTGGCGACTAAGTCGCATTAATCAGATAACTGCTTATAGCGCAGCGACAAGCCGTACGCATGATTCAAGGCTTTGACACAACTTCCTTTGACAAACGTGATTGGAAATGAGGACAGGCCCGGCAACTGCGTAAATGTGATGGCCAAGGCAGGTCAGGGATTAACTTATCCACCAAAAATCTTACTAATTCAACTAAGTTATGGTACCTCATGCAGAATTATTCGGTCTAACTGTTTTAATTAAACTGGCAATCTAAACTGAAATGGATTGGCAACGCTTAGGCCGCCTGTTTACCGGTATGTATTTTATCGTTGCGAGCCTCAAGCGTAAACATTGTATTGTTGTGGTCGGTTGAGCGAACACAATTGCGACGTAACACCTACCACAATTAGGAGGGTTAAAAAAAAGACTTTCGGCTGGCTAATGTATGTTTCAATATTTCTTTCTATATTTATATCTTTAAAATGTATTTTGGTAGCTATTGGTAGGTCCTTCTAGGTAAGTTTAAAAAACTCAAGTTATTGAGCCTGTGCTGATTTCAAGAAAAAAAGAAAATGTCAATTAACAAATTAAAAGATTTTTTCTGATGAAATTCATCTGTAGAGTCTGCTAATAATAAATGTAAGTTTAAACTACATGTATTTACTTTCTACACGAAACTGAAGCCATACCTCACAAAATTAAAAAAAAATTAAAAATAACATAGCTTCAACTTCCTGTAGAAACTGAAAAGTTTAAACTTATGATCATGATCGAAAGTTTTTTGTTCTAATCACACAAAATTGGCAGTATAAATAAAACCTCGCGTGTACAGTATTGTTGCCTCATCAATATCAGATCTCCCTGTACACTCTGCACACAAATATCAAGGTGCATCTGCCTTGAAACTATTGTTCTTTAGCCAGTGCAGCGTTGCGTAACAGGCTAACTGCAATCCCTGTGGAGAGATACCTGGTCTAATTTAACTGGCATTTTTTAAAATTGCTTTTATTGATAACAAGTTGGAAACTTGGCGAGTGAATCAAAGAAAAAGACCAAGTTGAAAGCCTTCCATCTATTGAACATAGAAAAGCAAAATTATTATGAACACGGCTAAAGCTTTAGTGACCGCCGTGAAGAGCATGCGTGTGGTGCGGTCTACTGCCGGTACACGCGTTAGGAATTTCCCAAAGTCACACTATCTTTGTCTATATATGATGCAAAGATACTTATATTTCCCAGTTCAGAACTTGAAAATTATACCCCCCATAAAAGTACCTGGGTCATAGTTCCTTAAGAAATGTACAGGAAGATATGGTGTTCTAAATGCCAGTCATTTAGAACTAAAACATTAGGCCTATAATTAAAATGAAATTCTTCGTGAAAAGCAGACAATTGCTCCTTTCCAGAGTAAAATCCATTTTGGTGGGTAAATCCCGTCCGTACAGAGTACAGATACCTTTCAGATTATTTATTAAGATAATCAGAAAACTCAAACTGAACAAATTCTTGAAAAATTCCGCAGAAGCCGATGGAAGACGGAGTGGAATGCGTCTGATTAGTACAAATGCCCGCAGATAATCTTCCACGTCTATTCTTACCAACTTTCTCACATTATTATTATTATTATTATTATTATCATTATTATTATTATTTTATCAATAATGAAATATTTTTAAAATTATCAATATGAAGCACACACGTTTGATTATACAGAATTTGCACGCTCTTATATCATAAACTACTATACAAAATTAAAGTATAGGCCCCTCCAATACAATTATTTTGAAAGAGATTTCTAGCGAACCCTGTGGTCAGAGTGCACAGAAGTTGTGGTTGAACAGTCAAGTAGTGTTATATCATATTAGATTGTGTTAGAGAAGACACAAGCATTGTGAGGTGGACTGAATTTACTAACTGCCCCAAGTGCCGTTCTATTAATGGGAATGGGAATGCGTCGGATACAATATGAAGTTGGAAAACTGGTTTTGGTGATATTGTATTTTTTTTCTCAGGCCTCAATTGATATTTGATCCCATTTGATCTGAGGTGAACCAATGATTTATAATTATATTGATATTTTCGAACAATCCTCGCATAATGATATACATCTATAATCATTTCCTTATCTTATTTTTAAATAAAATCAAAATTTCATACCGTGAATGATTTCCTACACCTACCCCGATTTTTAATGTGATCATTTTAGCAACGGGATGTTATATCATGATAACAGTTTAATCTGAGTTCAATCTGCTGCGCCACAATTTTCCAAAGTTTCCACACGACACCAGTTCAGTGAACCTTAGTCGATCAGTTGATACAGTGCCGCCGGAAAGTAACCTTACCAAAACGCCGCATGAACTCCCAACCCTGCCCGACGGACCATTTGACGCGTGTTAACAAATCCAGGGGGTAACCAACTGCGTTCGTTCTACACACATAAAGACCCGATCATTTTACATATTTAATTAATCAATCCAGCTTCCGGATATACACTATAAAGACAAGTACAATACGTTCAATAATTGATTTTATTTCTCCTTTTTTCACACGCAGGTAAGAGTTTGGGTATCACAGGGTTCGATGCTATAGAAGCTGGCGGATGACTGTTCCTGACAAGCTAGAGGCGAGTAATGAATAGATCTATTACTCACGTGCCACTGGTTTCTGACACAGTTATATCATCTTGAATAATTGAACTGAGAGTCATAAGGGAACAATGTCCTGTATGCAAGGGAAATGCAGTTCAACAGTTTTTAAAGGGTTCTCAGCAATGTTCCAGTTCAAATAACTCTTCCTTTTTTATCGGCTGAGCTCTCCCATCAAATCTATTTAAACTCGTGCAGCTACTTTATCCATTCCCCAGCATTATAACAATCTGCAAACTTCAAGATAAATTTCAAAATTTCTTTTCACCAATTACTGGCCTTTATAAATGGCCTTATATCTCTTTTTGAGGGCCACGTTATTCGATATACTGTTACTTTATTTTATTTCAGTGTTATGTTATATATATATATATATATATATATATATATATATATATATATATATATATATATATATATATATATATATATAATGTTAATCAGTTACAAAACATGCTATTGTTGAATGCGAAATGCGTCACATAAACGTTTGAATAGCTATGTCATAATTCAGTTTCATACTTATATGATCCGATTAAATGCTTTAAATTTCAATTAAAAATTTGTAAAAGGAGAAAAAGGGAAAATATTAACGACACAAAGAGTTTAACGGCAGATTAAGATGACATATAAAAATACAAATCGATGAATACCAAAGCTATTATGGGAGCATGTAGTAACTAAATAAAACCGAGGCTTTCAGAAACAGGTCCAAAAGAGTAAAATGCAACTGGCAATTTAAATTATCAAAGCAATGTTTACGTTTTTAAATTTTCATTCGAAAAGACTGACTTATAAAAACATGTTCATAGCCATTTATGAAACTCGTCTTTCCAAAATCGACCAAAATGCCCAAGAAGCGATTGACCTAAAACGTGCAGACTACCGGTACTTCAATTCCCCATTTTGTAGTAAGTCGTCGTCAAAATGTCTAATCTGTCAAACTTGTGGCATTTGTCCATGATATTCATGTCGGGATAATAAAGACAAAAAAATTAAACACATGTAATATTCTAAATTTCAAGAATAACACTGTCTGACTGTGACGAATAGCTTCTTAATGATACAAATACTCCTCTCGCGTGCATTCAATCATTCTGTGATTTTCCGAATTCAAAAATTTATTAAAAAAGATAGCGTTCATTCATGAAAATTCTCTACATTTCGAAGGTTTTCAAGTCAGAAAGTTATATGTATTACTATTAGTAAAACACCTTTTAATGTCTTCAGAGAGTTCGGCAGTTATTATATTGTGAGCGGGTAGTTGTTAGTGATCTGGGGTGCTCCTTCGTCATTACCTGGCTTCGGTGACACTATATTTGAAAAGTCTATCGTTGTAATTTTGATTCACACTGGCTGTGCATTATGCGTTCAAATTGCTCTCAGATCACTGGCCGTGTAACCAGACAGGTTTATTTGACATCATCTTGTTGTGACAGCAGTCTTTTTACAGTAAAATCGACAGACTGTTGAGTTGCTGTCTTTCATTTCTGAAGCACACTCCACAGTAGATTTTATGTACAACAAACACTAAAACACGTCCTTGTAATCGATAAAAATGGTTTATCACAGAAAATAAATGCATTCCTCATTACCGCAACGGCATCATGGTTAAGAGCTTTATGAGGAGTTTATTGAAATAAATATCTTTGCTCGATCTGTCTTTTGATATGTGCTAACAATGTGTATGCAACCTTTATTTTTGTAATTCAAAGCGTCTTCAACATGGACGTCCGATGCAGGTGGTAAGGATGGATTGTAAAAAATAATGAAAATGGGAGATGTTGACAAATGTTTTTCAAGTTGTATACTCCGGTTGATATTCCAATTCATTGTCCTCCAATCTGGGTGGTTTTGGTGAAACTTTTCTCATCTTTTTTGTCTTCTCTCCTTTCTTGTTTGCCTTGGCTTTCGGAAGACAAAACACCGCCCTAAGTCCGCAGCAGACGACACATAATATGGGGACGCCGACGATGACAGCGGCGGGGATGACGATGACCAGCGTAAGGTTGGCGCCAGGTTTGGCTGTTGGTGCCGGCGTACTGGTACCGTTAATTGTTGCTGTGGATGACACCGTAGTGGAGACGCTCCCTGCAGTGGGGGCAGCGAGTGTTGTTAAAGCCGCAGTGACTATATACATCACTGAAAAGAAAACAATTATTCATCAGTTTTGCCTCAAAATGATCTCAAATTTTTTTTTCATAACTATATTTAAAAACGACACCTTTGTCTACAATATTTGCTATAATTCAAAATACAATGGGTTGTAACATAATGCTGCATTTTTGTTGTTTTTTAGTAATCATAATATAGAATGTTTGCTTGTCACAGAAAAAAATCATGAGAAACGATTTAAAGGAACAATTCCTATTCGAAAACTTAGATTATATTTTTGTGTCAACCCGATATCATTGCCCCGGGTAACTCTGTGTAACCCCGCGAAATCAGATATAAGCTTTGGTTTGTAGTTTCCAAAGTCAGACACTTTGGACAAGCTGGTGAAATACTTGCAAATATTTGAACCCGTATCAATCAATTGTGGCTCCTAGCAAGATGAGATAATTAAGTATAGGACACAAAGTATATTGAATTTTAAAAAGTAGACCAACATTTTAACAAAAAGATATACTTTCTAAGACAAACTAAGGCATCGAATCGCCAAACACACACGTCAATAACAACCGTAATATCAGACACACTAGAATTTTTACAATAACGCATCCTTGATCATCTATCCTAACGATCTAAAACCCAGACAATTTATTTGGGGGTTTTATGTTTTGTTTTGTTTTTTTTTTTTTTATTCTCGCAATGCTTACAAAGGCGGGGCAGACCTTTTTCATATACAGATAATATGTTATTGGCAAACGCATGCAAAAAACTTGCGAAGGAAACAAATTTCTACATGAGGAAATGCCGTTTTTGAGGTGCCTTTATTATTTTACGAGGTCGATACCAACTAGCTCTATACTACACACAGAGGAAATGGTCTTTTGTTCCGTCTCCAAACACGTGTCTGCAGATAAGAGGTTGCCGTGATTTCCTAACAAAATAGCCAATATTGATGGTCAAACATTTCTCGATAATGCAAAAAGGACAAGTAAAATACACATTGTCACCCCTTATAAATATCTGTCTTCTTGTCTGTCTGTCTGTCTGCCTGTCCTCCATGTAACTCACTCCTGCTTAACAAAGTTTAATTGCTTGGGCATTTGCCATTTCTTCTTCTAACGACATGGAATCTTGCTTCATGTTGCTTTTGATAACATTAGCCTATAATTTGTTTCGCTCTCCTTTTGTCACGTTTTCCCTTCTCCATAAATCTATTCTTGTCTTCATGCAACGCTTGGCAGGGAACTTACCTCAGGGATTATTTTATTTTATTTTATTTATTTATTAATCTATTATAACGGATGTATCACCACTCCTGTAAACACGAACGCGATGCCATAGATTATGGCTATTAATCACAGTGACAGGCTAGGAGTCGTGGCAATAGAGTAACGTCTGAACGGAAAGCACCAAACAATCGATAATTGAACCCTTCAACGATGCAAGATTCCTCACGGCGCTGTCTACCTGACCCACTGCGTTCTGATACCTTACCACGGTTACCACTAATTAATACCCTTGACAGGTGCAGGGCTCTCAGTGTGTTAACTAGCTCGTCGACATTATGGTACTCGGGTCTATTGTTGAACGTGTGATAAGCAATTGAATATAATCGGAGAGCAATAAGAATCGATACAAAAAGCACATAATTTACAAAAAAGTAATACAACACGAGCACTATGTTCGCAAAATATTCCTCGCTCTCGTGATTTGAGTCAATCAAATGTTAATGGTATCATGCTCAAATTCCGCCCTCATTGGCTTTTGGTTTACAGGTTTCACAGACGACCTTCTTTTTTTCGTTTTAAATAGTATAACCTCTCAGTTATAACGGCCTAGTTGTAAACCAATAATCATGGCACACGATCGATGTACAGATACATGGCAGTTTCAGCGTTGTCTTTTCATGCAAATTTATATTTACTTTATGTATTTTATGCTAACGAGAAACCTGGCTGTACTTCCATGAAAGTGTGTGAGGAGCAGACGAGATCTCTGTTTAACCACCGCCATGTCAAAAAATTGCTCATTTTCGCCATTTCAGTCCATTTTCCCTGAGATTTTCATAAGATCAATCTTATTTTAATAATATTAATAATAATATATTAATAATATTAATAGTATTAGATTACTAATGACAATGGGACCATTTTAAAACTAGGACTGTATATTTGACAGCACAGCTGTCTAGTTATACACTGTATGCCTGTGATCATCTAGAGTAATTATCTTTAATATAATGTCCCCATAAGACATTTAACAATGCTCTACTTTCAAAGTAATTCATATTTTATATATTTATCATTCATAATTAAGCGTTTTCATCGTTTGCTTGACATAATTTCTAGTCCTCCATCATGGCTGCCAGGACATCTATCACGCTTAGCGGACACCTCCTGCAGTGTATAAACATACTGAGTACCTGTAGCTATTCAGAAAAGCGGTCGCTTGGTGCTCAAAAAGCAAACAAAGAATAAATAAATTACGTTGGGTAGTTGGATATCCCATCCATCACTGTCTTTCTACAGAACAGAACAGAGCAGCTGAACATTGTTTCTTCTAATAACGTCCCATAACAGTTTAAATTGTTCATATCACCAGCTTCACAAAATTACTGGCTGACAAGTTAACAAAGTGAAAAGTTTGCAATTGAGCACCTTCTGATAAATGGCACTATAACCGCAGTTAATTTTTCATCACTTAACACCAGCTTTTTTTAAGCAGGAAGCAGCTAACGAGTCCCTGTAGACCGTTCTATTTGTCAGGAATCGGTCTTGCTGTAGGGTGTTATACGCCAATTGCGTCAGCATTGCCTGCGCACCTTCATGTACCTACAGGTACCGCTGTATAAAATAGTTAATCGCGTTTCGGTGGTTGTCAATAGAAGTCTTCAGTACCTTAAATCCAATATAGTCTAACAGACATGGCCATGCGGCTAGGTAACGTAACATTTTGGTTATAAAAGGCCTTACGTTGGGTCCCAACGTGTGATCTTTGACTGGGTTCCCATACCTAGATCAATCTACCAGGATCGACCCATTTCCGAGGGGGTTCTCTCTAAATTGCTTTCAGCTTAAGCGGCTTAGATGTCTGGCACGCTAAACGCTAAACGCTAAACGCTAAACGATAATAAATTACCGCCTAGCTGCTTCAGTAGACGTGACAGACATCTAAGCTGCTTACGTTGATTGCAATTTACCGAAGATAGATCGATCCACAGTTGGTACGATAGGGTCTGGGCATGGTACATTTAATCTGTTTACATCAGCCAAGGCGTGCATATGAGTTATGGGTTAGTATCAAGATTGAAAAAAACGTTAACATTGGTAATTGTGCAACAATCTTCTATGGAAGTCACCGACATCATATTATTACAAAAACCCCAGACAGCGTGGAGTAATACGCAAGCTTGATGCGGGTTGATTAGACTAAGACCGTTGACAGAATAAAGTACTAAAAATGACAAATTATGACTAAGTGTAAATATAAGAAATTCAACATCAGATTCTTTTTAATATCAAAGCAGGAGTATCATGTTGGCCGAAACTAGGATCGGTTCTATTCGTGATAATGATGAACGATCTCCGTATAGCTTGGCATTTAATTCAATATGTGGCCGACGCACCCAACTTGAGCTCCGAACACCTCTAAAACGGCAACTAATAAACCAGTCAGACAAGAACAAAATGGCAATAAACTTTTCGAAAACGAAGGAGGTTGTATTATACTTTTCAAAGATCGGCCAATGTCATTTATTCAAAATTATACACTACCTAAACTAGGATGAACAAGTACTATATTATTTCCACTGAAGTTAATCAACGGATACACTAACACTCTAATGAGCCAGCACATCAGTAAACCAAACCGAAGCATGGTGTCATGTTATAATGAGACTGTTTATTATTATGTACTTTTTATAACGAGAAAAAAAACGCAATGGCGTTTCCATGGTTCGTGTCAGATTTACGTAAAGTCGCTCAAAGAAAACCCAAGGACACATAATGACCAGTTTAACGGTTTATTTGATGACGCTCTATAGCTACATGATCTACTTGAAGTCTTCAACTTTTGAACCATCTCCCATGGCTCGCGTCCGTCTATCTAGCTTTCCCAGGCGGTCTCCCTAAATCTCTCTCAATCTGAACTCCCAGATATTACTTCTAAACGCTTTATATACCAATTCCTTATCTATGGTGGATTCTATGCTGCACTATTTGCTGCATGCTAATTTTAATTACATCTAAGGCCATAAAACGAGTAGAGTGCACAAGCAAGCGACTCCATTAAAATTAATTAACAAGTCTGGGTATTATATTTGTGAACTGAACAATGTGTGACACCTTTGTCTACCAACAATCGTAGCGAAAAATATAAAAAAATCCACTCAGAAAAGAATTATTATATCCAATTAAGACAAATTGCATGAACTAGATTAATAAACAATTGATAAACATGAATTTATGAGCTCTCTCAAGACCGCGGATCGCCATGGGAAATCGTGATTATGTTTAATGAAACAGAAGGAAAGTGGAAAAACGTCCTAGTTAAATAAAAAAAATCTAAATAAAAAATGCGCTAATATTGTCCTTAGGCGAACCTTGCAATATCGTGAGTCAGACATACATGTACATATAGGACGGTACCTTTAGGTACATGAAGTAGGGCAGGCAATGCTGACGCAATTGGCGGTTAGCACCCTACAGCAAGACCGATTCCTGTCAAAAAAAAAAAAAAAAAACGGTCTGCAGGGACTTGTTACCTAGAACCGATTTCGATGACTCTAAATATGACAACAGGACAATGTGACTGATGAATGGAATGTCGGCTAACGTAAAATTATAGAGATTAACGACTAGGATGCCTCTACTGAGACGGTCATAGTACCATGTGTTTCGATTCAATATACAAATGAATCTCACGATGAATTTGTCCGGAGTCAATTAAGTTAATATCTTTTTGTTTTCTCAATTATTAGCTTTAATCGAAAAGATCTCATGAATTATGCCTATATCGAATTACCAACAGAACTCACGAGGCGCTCAATTTATAAACCACCCCGTTTTCAAGAGGGTGTTTTGTGTTGACACCAAGAACACTTCACTTCCGTTATGATCCTTTAACTGCCATGAAAGTGTGAGAAGTAACGACAATTACTGTACATTCGTGTTTATTCAAGGACATCGCTTCTACCAATGTACTTGATATTAATATAAAATGAAAGCACGAACCCCGTTAAAAGATCAAATGTTGTTTCCATCATTTCATTAAGGACAGAAGTTTAAAGACACCCAAAGAACGCGTGGGAATGACAAACGACGTGTAATTCAAACGATGCCGTCAAGGTTTAAAATTTTTAAAAGGAAAACCTTTTTTATGACAGTCTATCTCAAAACTTCAAATTAAAATGCTCTTCCAAACAAGGTTGTGCGACTTAATATTGCATAACACTACTGTAAACGGACATGTATTGAGCTCCTCACAGGCACTTTTTTCTTTTATAAAATGAGACCAAGAGATGTTTATCTGTCTGTAAGGTACCATTGCCAACAGGCCAGAAGCAACCTAAGCACAGTATGCCACTTAAAATTGCCCAACATAAGGTGTTCTGTGGAGAAAAAGGTCTTTTGATTACTAGCAGCTTGTTTAGGAAAATGCATGATTTAAATATAGAAAATTGACATAGCTACCTTTAAACAAAAAATAAATCGCCATTTTCTTCACAATAGATGCCGTCCTCCAAGTCATGATGGTCGGCTTATCTGTTGGTTGCGCTGTCGTCCTTCAACTTTTTCAGACAGTCTGCTCTTCCTTCTTTTGGACGCCAAACGATGTGTACTATAAGTCTGAAAAAATCTCTGTCAGTGTTTCTGGATAATAAGTCACTTAATGCTATCGACTTAACGAAGCGTGTGAAATTAAGATCGTCGAGAGGGTCTTAAGTTTCAGTCAGTCTCCTTTTCCCCGCTGAAAGTATTGACGTCGCACCCGCAAAGTAATCACATCTTATTCAGAGTAACAATGGGGATGCCAGGCTAGCATCATTGTGACATCACAGGTCCATATTTAAATCCTGGCATTCACAGCGACTCGTGACTCGTCATTGAGACCGATTCCAATAATTTCCATCTGGTTTAACTCAAGGTGCCCTACAACGCAATCGATGGACTGTTCCGTCTATCTCTCAGTTGAAGCACATTAGCAACTGAATGTTTTATCTTGTTTACAATCGTAGATAAATAGATCCCATTACGCCACACACGGATAGCAGAAAATAATAATAATGGGCAACAAGAAAGGGCTTTGAAAGCGGCAAGTCAGGCGCACGTTTCCAGGAAATTATGTACAGTTGTATTCAAAAATGCCAAGCGTATATTAATTCACAACACACAAGTAGCTTTTATTGGTGCATTGATTGTTAACTACCTTATTCTTTTCTAGTAAAGCAATCTTTTATTGAATTATTTTAGTCTCTAAGAGCAGTGGTAATGTAAAACCTAGGTGTTTCTATGAACGATACCATCAACTATAACAGATCTAGTCTGAAAAAGTAGTAAATAGAAAAGACCACACCAAGTGGTTTTAATTCTCTTGATTGTAGTATTACTGTATTGTTGCGTGTTTTTGGGAAAAAATTAGACTTAGCATCTCGATTACATTAAAATCAATAACAAAAGGAAATAATTAGCCAAGAATCATTTGAAACATTTCATTTGAGTGCTTGGTTCATTGAATAAATAAATATTTCGTTTTTCGCAAGACTTGAGTTTTATACATTCATTTTTCAGTGCTTAATATGTTTATTTTTCCTGTCAGTCTTTGTATCTGATCATTATGCGGCGTTATCAACGTCCTGCACACTCTGCCGAGCACGAAGGACCAGATAATGTTCGTTCATTGCGTCATCGACATTGACCAGTTACCGAACCCTCTTCTGCCTCTGCTTCGCTGAGTGCAGAAGACAGGCAAGTGCCACTTGTACGATGTGACCGCAGCTGCACTGCATCCTGTATACCCCCTCCCGCAGTGGGTTTTAGCATTCTGCCATTAGGGTTTTCCTTTTACCTCCGGCAATTGAGGTTAAGCCTTTGGTTCCGTTTGTCTGTCCTGCTGTTCGTATCTTTGTCCGTTTGTCTGTTAGCAACATTGTGGAAAAAGTTGTGAACAGATTCATGTCAGGCCAGAAATAAGCTAGATTCTGGTGTTGATTGTTTAAAACACTAACTAGCGAGCTATTTAATTTGCATTTCAGTGCTTGGTGCAAAACTTCATTTCAGCCTCAACATTTTTAAAAGAGGCTTTTTAAAAGACGTGAGAGTTCTGAGGATGACTTCATTAGATGAGGGATCTAACGCTCTGTCATCTTAATTAGATATTCCCTTAATGAAATGCAGCGGTCATTTTTTTATTTAATCGTTTTTAAATATATTTGCAAACGCAAACTAGAGATCGTTGATGCCCAAGATACATGTAACGATACTTGATCATCAACGGGTTGACAAGCATCGCCTGGTAGCGTCAACTTAAGGGGCTACGATTGTACTTTTTGCTTGAAAGTGTTAATACGATCTTTGCATGATGAACCAAGTGACGACGTTACCAGTTCAACATCAGACCTTAACGCTTGTTAAAACAAAATTATGCATTGGGATATAGAGGACAATATGAGGCACGAGAGAATTTCAAACTAATTCCAATTGAAACGAATTTAATACACCCGCAGCCATCTTCAGAATGCTAAAATGAAAAGTAATTAAGAAGCAGTCACAAAATTTCTCATCTTGTGAAAAAAGGAAGGTGTCGCCATGTATAAAGGTTAGCAAACACCTATAACTGCCAAGCTCCGTTTCTGTGAAAAACACGATTTTCAGTCAAAGTTAAAAGTAAACAGCCAGAGACATGTAAGCCTATTTGGAACTGTGTCTTGAGTACAGTGTGTGTTTCTGTATGCGTGTGTATGAGTGTGTGCGTGTGTGTGTGAAAATGTTGTTTGCAAAGTGATAGGGCTTTACATCACCCATTCCTTTTTCTTTTTACGCAATACTATTTTTATTTTTTTCTCTGTCATCACACATATGTTGTATCAAATCTTCATTTCGCTGCTGCGCTGTGACCAATACTAAGTGTACCCACATGGTCACTCAGCTCCCTGCTTCCTGCTCTCATATTTGACATAGCGCTCTCGCTATGTGTTCACTTACCACCTCTACGCCTCTCTCCTCAATTGCCAAGTCTTTGTCACCTGATAAAACATTGGCAAAGCACACACTCGAGTTGAAATTTGAAATCGACTTTACTGTTGACTTCGCACATTTTATATTGTCGCAATATCGAATTTTTTCCCCTGTGTAGACTGGCAAAGATGATTCGTGGTGCCGGGCGTAGTCAATGGATCGATTGGAGTATTGTCAGTGTAATCAACTGCGATGCTTTTACAAGAGTAGTTCAACATTCTTTCAAAGGCATACTCTGGGTTTAAGTAGACTTAAATGACAAAATTGTCTACTTGTTCATTTCTTGCTTGACCGTCAGCCTTTTTTAGAAGCTGCTGAGGGTTACAGGGTTGTCTTTGAAAACAGGATTACCTTATATTACCTTCGACTAACGCGTTTTGCGTTCTGTCATTGTCAGTTCAAAGTACTTGTATGACCATGGTTGGATCTAAGCCCAACGGGAAGGTTTTATATCGATTTGGCAAACATTACTGATATTACTTCAAAATATGATTTCAAAACGTAAAATGATCCCAGTTACGTGAATGTTTACACATTTCGTTTTTTATCACCTTCTTCCTAATTTGGCAGTAGGTTCTTTTATTTCCCCATTGCTAACGTAGAAGGATGATAGAAAAATTATTTCAATGACACGTAAATAGAGATCGAAATATCGATTCCAGTTATTACATTCACTAATAATACGAATAGTTGGTGCTTGGAATTTATCTATCGTCCAACTGGTTTCTTTCATGTTCTCGTTTCGTGATTCACGTTTTTATTAGGGTCACAATATTTTCTGCACAATTAGGGGCGGATCCAGGATTATTGAAACTGAATGCAAAGCCGACCCACCTCCCACCCTCCTTGGCGTGGGGTTCGAGAAATGGCCCCGAAAAATTTTGGTATTTTAGAGGGAGAACAGTGCCATTCGGTAGGCCTACGGTTGTGAACTATGATTCATGATCAGCTGGTCAAAATTCCCATTACAAGAGGGCCATTGGTGTGATTTTTTCAGAAAGGGGGGTCATTACCTCCCTGACCACCCCCCTCCCCTCCCAAATCTGCATTTAACCTTATGATTGCCTCTGAGAAGCCCGGGACGTACACATACAAGCGCAATGTTGACCTGTGGTCCATTAAACAGCTTCCTCTCACAATTGTGTTAGATAAGCTAGTGGTGTTCTTACTGAATGCGTTTTCCGTCCATCTTCAGTGTCTCAGAAAATATAAAACGATTGATACATGTAAATGCCCATGTCAAAACGAACCATAAAAGCAAACCCAATTTCAAACCACAAAACCGGGTTTTGGGTCACGTGATGCCACTCGCGCTCTCCACCCCTCCCCTCAAGTTTGACCTCTTTTAAACATTCAACACTAACTATGTAATTTTCATCATTTTTCAACTCAAAGACGCGAAGAATGAAAGGGCTCATTGACAGACACAAAACGCAAAAATGCAAAGTTAAAAACACAATATTTTATTGGCACTAAATTGCTTTAAGCAACACATAACATGGTTTTGCCAATGAACTGCAAAAACTGGCCTTTCTACTACCCTCTTCTTGGAAGCGCATTCATATAACACATGTAACACAAGCTCTTGCAAGGCACGTCACACTATTCTTCGCCTCATGTACCCGTATGGCTCTACTCGCCTTATATATGGACAAAAATTTACCAGTGCTAAACTCTTTTTAATAAAGGCAACGAGAACATAAAACTACGGAAAGGAGCAAAAAATGTTCATTAGTAGTTAGATCATAAATGATAATCATTCAGCACACGCTGTTTTTTTTTCACATCAGTTTAATGAAGGCCTCCGACTGAGTTGGCCTTAAGCTAACGGTGGGAAAATTCATCTTGTGCTGAATAATTATTGTTAATGATAAAACGTGGTATTTGCATATTGGCCTTGTATATATATATGTATGTAGTATGGCTGACAGCACAGCAGTATGCACTTCAACAATAAACCAAAGTTCAAGATACAAAAATAGAAAAATACGTCCTGTCTTGCCTTCCCTCCAACTCGGGATTTTATTTTGAATAATGAGAAATAAACACTTATTAGAATACTACAAGTCTATAAGAAGGACTAGATATTAATATACTATATTACATGGAATAAAAGAGATGCATATACCACTGCCTACTTAAAGAGCACCTTACATGTGTCACAGGTAGAAGAGAAAACATTAGAGATTCAGTTTGGCACGAGGCCAACTGTTTAATTCAGCGCCCTCAGGATCAGAGCATATTAAAAGGCAACACCAATGCTGCTCATATAAAACAATTTCTTCACTGAATGTAGCGAGTCTTGGTATTTGACTTCAGGTAATCACCCTTCACTTATTTGAATAAATATTCTTGCACTGTAAAAACTACCTGCACAGAGTTCAAAATTAACAATTACCGTATACAGGAATGTCAGTGACCTATAATCTGAAAAATAGAGTAGTGCCAAAAGTATTGTGACCCAAAGATCATCGTTAGTAGATCAAAACTAAACAGTGACTGGTTACTGATTCCCAATGATGGATTAAGACGACGAGTCTCAGACAAATAGGGATACACTGTACACTGTATCTACAGCCCTTGCCTTACATCGAACTCCACACATACTAACACTACTATAATCAAAGAACAATGTTCACCACAGTGGTCACTTATCATAATATAACGCCAAATCCCAACTTACTTAAACGTAGAAAATCTAAAAGATCCATTGCCAAGGAGGCAGGGCAACACAGCAAAAGAAGAGTTATTTCAGTTCATGTCTACCTATACTAGTTCATGCTTTTATCATACGTCAGTCTTTACTATAGGCAAGATTTCATGCTCATCATTCGCTACATATAAATGTATTTTTTGAAACATCTACATCTCTACGTTATATCAAAACTTTGGTCTAAGATCTAATTAATGTGAACCAAAAACACTGCACAGATACTGTCTGTGCTCCA